CGAGCCGCGACCGCGCTGCCTGTGGCGGGGCCGCTGCGGCGCGGCTGGCGCCCCGCGCCGCCCGCGCCTGGTCAGCGCGCCCGACGACGCCAAGCACCCGCTCCCGCGCAGCCTGCGGCTGCTGCGGGGCCGCGGCCGCCGCGGCGGCCTTAAGCGCCTGCCGCGCAACCGCCCCGCGCGTCCCCGTTGCGGGTCCGCTTGCGGCCGCAATCGCCGCGGGCGCGGCAGGTGTGGCGCCCTTGAGCAGAGAGGCCACCTCAGGCATGGACCCGCGCTGTGGGCTGCCCGCACCGCTGGTGCTGGCAATGGCAGAGCCAGCGCTGCCCACCAGCCCCTCTGCCCCCAGCGCTCTGCCGGTCAGCACCGCCGCAGCCGCGCCCTCCTGGGACGCGGCGGCTGCCTTGGACGGCGCCTTCTGCACCACCTTGTGGACAGCCCACGACTGCACGCCTCCCTGCTGCACTGCGACTGATGGGCCGGCTGCCGCCTGGCCAGCGGTGGCCGCCTGCAGACCGCCCTGAGCGGCGGGCGGCTGCTGCTGCTGCTGCAGCTGCTGCTTCGGCTGCTGCTGCAGCTGCTGCTGCTGCTGCTGCTGCTGCTGCTGCTGCTGCTGCTGCTGCTGCTGCTGCTGCTGCTGCTGCTGCTGCTGCTGCTGCTGTTGCTCGTGCTGCTGCTGCGCCATGACCGGGGCGGTGCTGCTGCATGGCGCAGAGCTTGTGCGGGCCGCCGGCGCGGCGGCCGCATCGGGGCCGCGCCACCCCTCAGCCTTGCTCCTCTGGCGCTCCGCTGCCACTGCAGATGCTGCTGCGGCTTCCGCCTCGGCCGTTGCAGCTGCTGCCGCCGCCGCCGCCACTGCGTCATCGGCGGCGTCCCTCGACCCCGCGATGTCCGTGGCGCTTGACATGAGGTGGCTGCGCATCAGCTGGCCGCTGGCCTCGTCCGCGGGCGCGGCCCCCACAGCTGCAGCGGAGGCCGCCATGGCCAGGGGCGTGGCCCCTTTGGCGGGGCGCCTCGCAGAACGCGTCCCCTTGACCGGCGTCTTGGCTGCCGTTCCAGCGCCGGAGTCGGCCGGCAGCACTGAGGGGCCGGCGCCGCCCGTCATGACGCTGCCGACGCTGGTGTCGGCCGCGCCGCCCGCCGCCGAGGGACCGGCATCTTTGTCACCGCCAGTTGTGTCCGCCTGCTGCTGCGCCTGCTCTGCCGCCTCCGCATGCTGCAGGGCCTCGGCCAGCAGCTGGGCGGCGGTGGCCTCGGTGCCGGGGACTACGAGGTCGAGGCCAACGCCGAGCATGGCCCAGATGATCAAAGCGAGGGCATGCTTGGCGCGCCAGTCGTGGGTGGGCTTTGTTGGCGACGTTGAGAACTTAACGATGCAGGCGGTGCCGTCGACCTGGGGTGTTGGAGGGAGTTGTGAGGGCACGTTACGGTGGGGCAAATGCCTGCAGTCTGCAGGTTGCGGGAGGGGGGCAGGCAGACACCATGAAATGCGACGCCAATGATGATGCTTGTAGTGATGCTCACAAGCTTCCAAAATACTCCAGAGATTCGCCTTTGGCGGGAACACCACAAATGCTGACTTTCTCCTGTGGTGAAGCCATCCTCAAGCAGTGCAACCAGCCCAAAACCCTCTCATCAACCCAGCAGCTGCAACAAGCGTCTTGGAGCGCACCAGAGCTGGCAGGAGCAGCACGGCCTGGCCCTCCTCCACGATCATTGTGTGGACATCAGGGTTGTAGTCGAGCGGCACCAGGCCCTTGGACACCTTGCCAAAGGCCTGGAAGAGGTCGGGCAGCGCGGCCGCCGCATCCTGGGACGTGTGGGCCTGGGG